AATCCTGTCGTAACACCCCACCCCACCCCACCTCACCTCACCCCACCCCTGCTTGAAATGGCCAGCCAAAATCAAACCCGAGCCAGAGAAATTCTCCTCGTCCCCCTTGGGTGGAGATCACAGAGATCCCTTCTCCGGGTCAGGCTGCCTCCCAGGCCCCAGGATGAAGTTTCGCCTGCTGTGCCAGGGCCAGGGCCCCTGCAGGCCCACCCTGGCCACCCAGGCCCCTTGGCGGCGCCGGCGGCCCCGGCACAGAATCACGTCCCTCCCGACTGCTCTTCCCCAGCAGCTGGGATTCAGGGAAGGGGGCTCACGCTGGCTGGGGAGGCTGGGAGTGGTGGTCCGCTGGGAGGGGGCCCGGCCCAGAGAGTTGCTTTAGCGAAGAGTTGGGTGAAGTGTGTTGCCTTCCCCTTTTGAAACCTCTGCGCCTGTATCCATCATTAGCTCTTTAAATGAGCTATAGCTTATGCTTAACAGCGTGAAACCCATCCATACATAAAAATAACAGGTTACTAAATGAAGCACTTAAATTGTTCAGGTAATGCATGGAATGGCATTGTTTCCCCACTTGAGCAAGGGAGATTTCGAATAATGTGTCATTATGGAAAGAAGCCGCCTGCAGCCAATTTGTTCCGCCGACTCATGCTTCCTAATACATTAAACCCAGCCATAACACGGCACGACTCCAGCCAGCAGATGCAGGAGGTCTCTTGCAGCTGATGGCTCCTGTCGGTGCCGGCGGTGAGGGTCTGGGGCTCCGGACGACGGTAGCGCTGGGCAGCTAGAGAGGACTCGAGGGCCATCAGGTAGAGCTCCATGCGCCCGCCACGCCCCCCCCAGCATGAAGGCCTGGCCCAAGCGTTTCCGGCCAAGAAGACCCTCCCGCCTCCTCTCATTGCTGGCTGCGGCTTCCCGGCAGGTTCTACTCATGATTCGGGCCTATTTTCTGGAGGGCAAGGGAAGGACCTCGGCTGCGTTTGCTGTTTGTCTCCTCTTCTTGGGCAAAGCAGACTCGGCTTTTCTCATAGTTCCTTCTAGAACTTAGTCCCCAAAGCCCTTGTCACTGGCCATTATTCTCTGGGAATATTCCAGTTTATCAGCAGCATCCGGTTATCCGGAAACAGTTTCCCACGTGCAGCTTTAGCGGGGAACTCAAGGGAGCCAGACCTAAACAGTGACCAGGACATCTTTCTAGCAATGTAACCTAAGTGTATCTTGCCTTGTTCAGCTGGGTCATGACCCTGCTTGTCTCATTAAGGTCCAGCGGTGAAGGGGTTGGAGTAGGCCTGGGAGGATCTGGGTTCAAATCCTCCTCTCATTCATAGAAGCTTCCTGGGTGACTTTGGGCCAGCCAGCAAAGGTTGTGGTTGGAAAAGGTGGAGGGCCAGGTGCGTCACCTGAGCTCCCAGAGGAAAGGCCTGCGCTTCGCTGAAGAAAGGGGCCCGGGGAAATCAGTTCACCTGGCTGATTTCTGCAACGTGTTTTCCCCAACCTTTTAGCAATATGGTTTGGCTCTGCTTTCAGCCTTCATGGTTGAAGGTGCTTTAATAATTCTACCAGCGTTTGGTTTTAAAGATCAGATGGCAGGCTCCGTTGGGAAAAAGAGCCATCTCCAACGCTTTAATCCAGGAAGCCTTCTCCCCTGCATTCGTTGCAGGAGATCCCGTCTGCTGAGCTGGTGAAGATAAAGCCAGAAAGAAGTCATCGACGGACCGTAAGTCTGCAGAACCCTGGGCGTCCGTGGGTGGTGGATGGTAAAAGAAAGTCAAGGTGTGGCTGAGACCACATGCCCTTTCTTCGCATAGGCCCTGGGGGAGAGACAGAGTAGCCTGGGGTCCTTCTCGGCCTGGGGTTGGGGTGCTGGTGGTGGGGTCTCTGCTCCTGCCTGAGTAGGTCCTTGCAAGACTCTTATTGGGAAAAAAAGGCCCTTCCCTGATTCAGTCTCTCTCCAAGTGGGACAAGACCAAAGGAGCTCAACTCAGAGGTCTCCAGGGTATTCCTTCCGCCCCTTCCCCTCTCCCCTTACTGCAGATCCAGATCCCTGGGGCTTGTGATTTGCTTAGAGGTGAGGGGGGTAGAGCTGGGAGAACGCTCACCCCCACCAGCTCAGTCCCCTCTTTGGCTTCTCAGGACACAATGGAAGAACGTGCCCGGTCGTGCATGACCCCCCAAGGCATACTGCAAAGAAGTGTTTGCAAAATGGAAAACTCAGGTAAGTTCTCCCACTGCATGTCACATTCAGAGCCAACAAGAGTCTACATGCATCCCACTCACAAACACAGGAACATTTTGGGCTCTACGGCAGCGTTTCCCAACCTCGGTAACTTTAAGACTTGTGGACTTCAACTCCCCGAAATCCCCCCCCCACACCCGGCTGGGGGGAACTTGGGGGTTGAGGGCACCCAAATTCAAATTTTTGGGGGTGTGGAACA